ATCATATTATTTTAATATTTTAAACAATTATATATTTTTATAGTGAGTATTTTATATAAATATATATATTATTTTTAGATATACACAGAATGTATATATAAAATATATATATATTTAATCAACAGATGTATTTGCAGCCTACACTTATTAAAAGCCGTCCTCAGCCACGCAGGCTGGGGGTGCAGCCTGCCTCTGGTACAGAGGCACCGATGGTACCGAGCAGCACCTGATCATGCCGAAGGATCAACACAGAGCCAGAAGTGGTCAATGGCTTTAAGTATTCTCAACAGGGGGGCAACATGAGTAACTGGATTAATTATCAGCAAAGCAGATTTCCCCTGGATTGCAGGAAAACGCTTTCTGGCAGTTGTGAGTGCAATGCCCAGGAGAGAATGCCATGGGAGGCTGTGAAGCTCCTCGAGGTGGGAGATGCTCCACATGACGGAGCATAAGGTGCAGAGCCCTAATGTGCCAGTATCATAAAATGGGTAAGAAAATACCTGCTCCACTATGAAAACAGCACTCCAACAGGAAAATGTACCAGAAAAATAATGAAATCCAGACATGGCCACATCTCACATCAAAATCCAGCAGGATAAAACCATCCGTGTCCTCAGATATGGCCACAGTGCTTGGGAAGTGGGTTTGGGACTGAAGAGTTTGGAGTTTTTGGTAAGTCAGTATTAAAAGGGATGCGACTCTACCTTCAGAAATCTGATTTCCTTTTTAATTCAGTCAAGTTACCTGACCTTTCGATGCAGATTTTAAAAAAGATACGTTTTTCCCAGGCTGTGGTGGTAGGCGGGTGACAGACATTTAATCACCAAAATCTGCATCTTAAAATTTTACATTATTTACCTCTGCCTACAGATGGTCGTAGGACAGATTTCAATAAATCTTTTATAAAGAAATTTGAAATATTGTGAAGAACTCATACTTAGCAAATATGAAAATTTTCTGAGAGGTTCCTGTGTTTTGGGTTGCCTTTTTTTTTTCCCTGAACAAAGCACTTCAAGGCCCTTGCTGAATTCTCAACACTGCATAAGCAGTGCAAATTAGGACAATTTATTAGACACAGAATACCACTGATTGGGATGTTATTTTTGCTGCTTTTAAAGGAAAACACACAGGGGTAAAACAAAGCGAGAAATGTGAGTAGTGTGGGAACTGCTAGGAATTGCCACCCGTCTCTGCTGGGATGCCAGCAGCCCTGCCCCAGCATCTGCTCCAAGGCACAGCCACATCCCCAGCGCCTGAGCAGAGCCCCATCTGTACTCTGACATTAGCAACCATTTGGGATAAGGAAGCATGAGCTGCTCAGCAAAGAGCACAGCTTCTCCCCAATTCCTGTACTCCCTCATTATAATACATGTGCTCTAACCTGCCCAGGATTCATTCCCAGTGGACAAGGAGAAATGTTTGGGTTTTTTTTTAAATCTCAGCACACACACAATAACAGGGTTTTGCAATCTGCTCCATCAGAACAAGGAAAATAACTTCTGCTTTGAATTCTAACATCAATACCTGTTCTTTTCAGGGAGATCATACAAATAGACATTGTAGTAGTATTATAAAAACTAAATAATAAATAGAAGTGGGGGAAGATATACTTGTTTATGAAATGAACTGCACCTTGGGAAAAGCAAGAAGAATACGGTTGTTACAGCTGGGTCAACCTTGTGCAACTGCTCTTTCCAACAGGGCTAATTAACAAGGGAAAGTTTGCTTCTTTCTATGGGAACTGCTGTACCAAGGTAATTATTACAAGCAGAGTATGTTATCAAAAAGAGCCAGACAGTGGGAAACACTGAGAAACTAAGTAAGCCACCGGCAGCTTGCCCTCTGCCAACATGGATCTGCACGCACAACGGGTGCAACCCTGGCCAACAGTCTGCGAGGTGGCACGCTTTCCTTCCAGGAGTCAGAGCACAGATCATGTTTTAAAAGACTGGCATATCTCGAGCACATGACCACAGTAGGAGGGAAAAAAAAATAAGGAAAGCACGTATTTGATGACAGCTCCTATATCCTTACACTGGTGCTCAAGCTTATTTGGTCCTCAGACATGATTCTACTGATGGAAACTGGGACTTCTGATTATATGCAGCACAAGAAGCAGCAGGACAAAATTTCCTATGCACTTCTTGGATTGAGAGAGGGTTTTTTCCGTTTACGTCCATTCAGTTTCTGTCTGCTTTTTCAAGTCCCCCAAGAAGGATGCCATTTTAAAAGTTAATTCATCTGAAAAGGCTTTTAGCAGTGAATTTGCAAGATGCCTAATGATAAGCTTTTCTAACATAATGAGAAAAGCCTGAAAAAAATTATGAATAAGGCTTCCAAATCTCATGGGAATGGTACTAAGTAGGACTAACTAACAACGTATTGTTTCTGCCTGCCTAGCTGTTACAACTCATATTTTCAAGTTTTCTTCTAGACAAGCACTAGAAATGAGTTTCCAAAATTCTCCTGTAGTCAGATGATTCCTGCTATTAGGGGTTTGATTAATAACTGCACCAGATATTGCCAAGCCCACAACGAAATGGCAACGCTCTCCCTTTTTCGCAAAACAAAATCAAATCAACACCTTGTAAGGCCTCTTTGACAGTAAATACTGTTACCACCCAGCCCTTCTCCATTGCCTACTATTTCACTATTATTTTTTGCTGATTTTCATCACACCAGAAAAAATTTTCTCCTCTCTTTAAAAATGGAATTTCCATATGCACTAAAAACTCTGTCCTCTTTTTGCAACAGACTTTTCTTGTTTTAAGTAACACTTTTAGTGTCACATAAGCAAATAATGGTGATACCTCAAATTAAGGCATATTTCCATATAAACTCTCCAGTTCCAAAATACTACTTTTTTTAGAAACAATATAAACAATCAGTTTCTAAGATTAAAAATGGTGTTAGTAAGCATTCAGGAAAAACTGACCAGCACCAAGTGCTGTGGTCAGCTTCACTGCCCTGTCCCAATTAATCATTAAACTGTGCCGTATTAATTTATTACTGCACAAACAAGGGCAGCAACATGCATAGTGCCACACTGTGAACCACAATTTTGTATTATCTCTGTCTCAGGCAGACTTTTGCCAAGCTGCTCTATGCCACTATCTGAAAGATAAAAACCTCCTAAACACAATGAGAATTGATTTTATTTAAAAAATTAATGCAATAAAGTTGCACTCGAGCCTTTTTCCAAACCTGGCAGTTCTGGAGTGTCCTACCCTCTGGACAACACAGTTCACCACATCCATGCCATCCTTATAATGGTCCAGAGGCTTCCTCCACCTGCAGACCCATCCCAGGATTAGGGTTAGGACCACTGTCAAGTTAAAAAGGGTCAAACCAATTTCTCCCTTCTAGAATAGCCGACTGATCCTGCCCAGGCTGATGCTTCCTGAGGTTTCAGAGGATTTAGCCATGATGTGGGATGAAACGCGTGCACAGCAGTACAGCTGCTGCCTATCTTGGGAGGAAAAATCGAAGCATGTAACATTCCCTAGGAACTACTACCCAGACTGAGAGACAGGAAGGAGTCTGCAGCCCCCTCAATCCTCAATCCCCTTTGTCACTAGCAGATCTGTGCACAGCTTTCTCCACGCTCCTACAGCCAGGTGGAGCAGCCAACTCCACTTGGAAGGAGCTGGAGATGGCAATGAGGATACTACTGATGCTTAAAGAACCTTTCGGGGCAGCAGGCTGAAAGGAGAAGCAGCACCAGGGCTCCTCTGAGAGGAGTATTCTGGAGACTCAAAAGGAGGAGGATACGGGTTTTATGATGGGAAAAATACAGGGACGAGTTCAGTCCTGCTGAGCAAAGGATGGCCTCCAAACTTGCGCAGAGCATGTGCAGCTTCAGCACAGCACAGCACACCGAGGTCAGTGTACACACACTTACCCAGTTGTGGAGAAAAAACAAAGCGTAGGTATGGGGATGGGGTGAAGAGAGCTATTTTAAGTACTTCTTGCTATGGTTTACTATGGTAGCAGAAGCATAGAAAAGCCTTCAAAATTACAATCACTGTTTAGGTTAAAAAAGCAAGTAACTACTTCAATAACAATTTTTTCACCACCTAATGTTTGCTGTTGAATTACGGCTTTTAGGCTTTTATGGCATTTTTCTAAAGTATGATGTTTACTGCCTCCACCTTGCTTCCTCAAGACTCTTTTTTTTTTTTCTTTAAATAGAAAGGAATTTGAATCACGACTTACATGTAACTTTTCTAGGTTCTGTGCTGGCTAAAATGTTCTCACGATGCAGGGAACAGGATCAATGGTGAAATTAAGAGGCTGCAGCAATCCATTAAGAAGTGGCCCTCCAAAGCTTTGTAGGGCAGTGTTCTGGCAACTCAGTCGATAGCCACCTAGAAGAAAATAAAGGCAGGCATTAAAATATTCAAGCACTGGATCTTCACAAAACCCCTCTTTTTTTCCCCCCTTCTAATTCTAAGAAGAGTTTGGGGTTCTTTTTTTAAAAACATAGAAGGTCTTTATGTCAAACATGATAATTACATTATGCCGATTATATACCTCCTCTTACCTTTAAAGTTGTAGACAACTTAAAACAAAGACCATGTTTTTCTTGCATTCGTATAGCACCCAGACATATGAGACCCCTGAGAAGAATTACAAAACAGAAAAGCTAACACTTCTGTGATAATTCCATGGGATCATACTGCAGGTATGTGCATACTTACGCACACATACTAAGAAATTATTTATGATGAGGGTGGGGAGACACTGGAACAAGTTGCCCAGAGAAGTTGTGGATGCCCCATCCCTGGAAGTATTCAAGGTCAGGTTTTACAGGGCTTTGAGCAACCTGATCTAATGAAAGATGTCCCTGCCCATGGCAGGGGGGCTGGACTAGATAAGCTTTAAAGGTCCCTCCCAACTCACACCATTCTGTGGTTCTATGGAGCTGTGCATCACACCAGAAAGGTGTTCCAACAAAACTAGCAAAATGATCTAACAGACTTTAAGTAATTAATACTGGCTTTTGTCAAAGCTTTGCTCTGATTTTGTCAAGGAATTTAAGTTAGGAACATCAAATTTGTTCCTTTGTTTCCGCTTTATTCTGGAGAGCTTCAGAGAAGAAATCCTATCAGCATAGTCTGGTATACCCAGGTTAATGCAATGTGTGTCACATTCCTCCATCCATCCTAAGGCAAAGCTACCTGTCACACCAGTCCACGTCAAAAGAAAACTGGAGAGGGAGTAAAAGGTTCGTGTGCCCGCATCAAATTAATTGTGCTGCCACCACTGTGTAAGGGGCTTGGGGCTCGGTCCCCAGAGGGGAAGCACTCTGGGATGGGGAGGGCTGGAAGAGGGGGTGACCCCCCTGCATTCCCACACAGCCCAGATCCCACCCGATGGCCAGTCCCAGCTGACTCCGGAAAGGCTTCCCCCATCTATCAAGGAAGCAGTTGTGCTCTGAAGTGGCTGGGGAGGAGGGTGGGAAGGAAATACTTGTGGAAGGAGAAGTAACTAATTTTAAGTTACAGGGATTTTCAAGTTGAAGTTTTCAAGTTAACAGTGCCCAACACTTATACTATTTTCTATTTTCTTTACTACTTTTTGAATGCTTAACTACTATTTACTTGCATAAAACTGGTGATTGGGAGTCGAAATGAAGATGATTTTCTTTTGAACAGAAGGGGACAGCAGCAGTACAAGCAGTGGTGTGTATCTATCTTCCCAGGATCACTGCAAAGGCTGTGTCTGCAGAATTACCACAAACTAAAGCTAGATAAAGGGGGAGGTGAGGGGAAGGAAAATAAACCCCAGAAGTTTAGATTTTTTTTACAAACTACTATTTTTTTTCCGAAACTTGCAAAATGAACTCTTCAGTGAAAACTTCTGGTTTCTCCAGAAATGTCTACTGATTCAATAAAAAAGTCAAAAAATAACTCAAAGCAGTGCAAATGAAAGATGTTTGGCTATTGTTTTTTATAAGTATGAGGTTCCTGTTAAAAAAAGTTCAATATTTTCTGAGCACTGATGCTACAGCATTTTACTCCAAGCCTTGTAGAGAACTGGATCATTTATGAAAACGAGGTTATTTCTTTGCATGGCTCCCTCCCAGATGATTTACCAACAGATATCCTCAAAATACTGCTGCCTTTAAGGATTATCTATATGGGTACTTGAAAAGAATCATGAGGCTACGCTAGGAACACAATGCTTGTGTCTTTTTAGTTTATGTAATTTTCTCCAACTAGGCATAACAATTCATTGACAGACTGTAAAAGGAACAAATATTTACGGTTGCAAATACACATTATCTAAATTGCCTATAAAACTAAAAATATAAACTCCAAATCTGTTCAGTCATAAATCACTGGTAGAACAAAAATAACTGTTGCTTACTCAATGGCTAAAGGAATAAAATCAGGGAAGGCTCTGTTTTTTCAAGGACAAGTTAGTTTTCTGAGCTAAAATTGCACTTGCCACAGCATATCAGAAGGAAAGGAGAATAAAGAGAAGTGGGGAACAAGGAATCAAGAAAAAAAGGAGAGGGGGGAAAAAAGGGGGAGGGAAGACTTGCAGTGCCACACTTTTCTGAGAAGGTGTGATTGATGTTCACTGCTGTAGAAAGCAGGAGGCTGCATCCCAAACATTTCATTCCCTTCTGCAAATGTCTCACTCTGTATCTCGCCCCATGTTCCCTAGATATTCTTGCCCTACACAGGACGATCCAGCCAGCATCAAGTTTTACACATGATCTAAAACATGAAAGCAGGAATCTCTCTGCCCTGGGGTCAGCTTAGGGTAGATTGAAACCTAACCCCCCTCCTATGCTCAACACGAGGGCTTCTTCATGCTTTCCAGTCGATAAAAGAATTTTCTTTCTGAAATAGGCAAATTATTAAAAGCAAAACTGTCACTACAGCTGTAAACTTACAAGGAATACATGAAAACTGAGCTTATATGAAATGAAGAGGCCAATGCTGCATCTACCGAAGAGGTGTTTCAGCATTTTAACATGCTGACTGGCCAAGTTTAAGCATGGGAAGAACTGGATCCTAGGCGGGGGAAGACGCACTCTCCACTCCAAGGCTTGCTCACATCGAGGTCTTGGCTCTCAGCACAGACCTGCACATGTGGGCACTCAGTTACAGGATCACAAGGGACCATAAAATTACTGCTCAACGTCAACCTAAAGACCCAGTTCCTGGAATGGGAGGTGCAAAGAAACTTTATTTTCAAAAGAAGCATCTGCCTTCACAGCTGCATAGAAAGCTAGAAAAATATCAATACTTCAAACCAGACATTACAAGCTTTTTTTAAAAAAAAAACTTTAACAACCTCTTATATGTTTTTGAACCAGGTTACCTTTTTTCCCCCTTTCTGAGGGCTTCCAGCACTGCTTGGTGGCTCAAGTTAGCACTGAAGAATGCAAATGCAAAGGAACATGCACCAGACACCACAGTTGGCAGAAGAAACCATGAAGCTAAAAAAGTATCTACTTCAAGAAAACACCTTCCAACTTGGATTTCTGTCATATGGAGAGTGTGTTTCAAAAAGAGGTGTTGGTTTTAATGTAAAATAATGAAAGTTTTGATGCTTTGGAGGAAAACTAAGTTCGTCAGTTTGCAATGAACAAACCAAGAAAGATGACTTGAGAAGAGCATGATCAATGTACCTGGGTATCACTCTGGTTAGCACGAAAGATGTTTCAAACACAGCAAATCATGTCATAATGCTCAAGGAAACCAGAGAAGTTGGGCAGGCAATGAGGGAGGTGAGCAACAAGTACACCGTGGGATCAGCAAACAGACCAATCTTCACAATGAGTGTGAAAAATTAGGGCTAAGTAAAATGAACCCACAAGACAAGTTGGTGAGTTTCTCACAGATGCAGACAGACTGAAGAAAAAATATTTAAGGAGAGCTGTGCACCAGCAAGCAGGAAAAAGTGAGCACAGATGTGCAAACAGAGATGGTGTTTTCTGAAGCGACACCCCACGCTTCAGAAATGCTTCTTACACAAACGTGTGCAGAAATTCATCCCAGTGAAGTCAGGGCTCCCAGTCTGTTACATACAATACCATCACAGATTAGCAAACGTGTTTTCTTTATGTTTGGTGTGGTTTTGAGTGAAGCTGAAGAATATTTCTTTCTGGTTGAAACAGCTTCATTGGAACATTTGTAGCATGCAACTGCTCGAAGGATCGCCTGAGGCTGAGAAGGCATTTGCAATGTTCCTGATATCTAGTACAGGATCTCTCCCTGAAATCCATAAATTAAACCCAAGATGATATTGATACCTATGTCAGAAAAGATGCACAGCCTGGCTTCACTATCAGTGCATTTAATTTCCTCCTAAAAACCTGCTCGCTTCTTCCAAAGAGAAGGAATACGCTCATCCATCACTCCTGCTTGCGCTCACATGCACCTTTTGGCCAAGGGCAGTCAAAACCAGGAGCTTCTTCGCCAGTGGTCAGAGGTGAGATACAGAAGACCACCACAATTGAGGAGGTGTGGACCAGAATCAGGGAGGTACCCACCCAGGACCGTGAGGACGGGCTCTGCGGCGTGTCCCTATCTGGGAAAGCTCTGTCAAGAGCCAGCGGAGATGAGATAGAGCTGTTCGTTCAGATAATGGCAAAACCACGTGAGGAATCAGTCTGGCTAGAAACCACAGCTGAAGACACCAGGAGAAGCAGCAAGACAACTGCAGCTGAGTGAGTGATGGGGAAGGCAGCTGCTGCTGCCCTGCGTTGGCCAGGGAAGTGCTCCAGGGTCTGCAAACTGGATTTTCCCCAGCTGCCCTTAACAGCACCAACTGGGCTTAAACAGAAAACCCTCAGAGGAGCTGGGGGATGTGCGTGGGGAGAATTTTCCACTCCCTCTTGTCCTCTGGTTGCAGTTTACACTGTGACACATCAACCAGGCTGGGCTAGGAGAGGTGGGAGACTGTAGTTCAAGAGCATTACCACAGGAACTTGTACATCTTTTTATGTAAAATCTGAATGACTTTATCACTGGAATATACTCGACTTAAAATAAAGCCACTGTTGAAAATATTTTATCTTGGTGGTATGACTCATGAAAGAATGGCTAGGTGTAAAAGGAAAGTTAATGTACGCTGTGAGAAAGACCCCCACACAACAGTATTACCAAATGACACAAGCTCCACACAGTAAAACCAATACATAGCAAAAGTCATGCCTGATACTTTGTGTCAGATCTGATGAAAATTCAGATATCTGGCATATTTCTCTGTATTGGGTTTGCATGGCAAGGTTTCAGTAGCAGGGGGGCCAGAGGGGTGGCTTCTGTGAGAAGCTGCCCCTATGTCCAACAGAGTGAACAGCAGCCAGCTCCAAGACGGACCTGCCACTGGCCAAGGCCAAGACCAT